GTGACGGTGGGGTCGTTCTTGGACGGGCCGACGATGGAGACCATGGTCCCGTCCACGCAACTGATGACGCCGGGTATCCTGCCGAACAGCCTGAAGCCCTTCTCCGCGTCGAACCTCTCGCTCGGCGTCTCGGGGAAGTGGATCCAGCCACGCTGGACCCCGAGACGACGCACGATAGCGACGGACACGGCGCGGACCGCAACGCTGACTCTCTTTTGGTCCCGCGCTACGTGTTCGTCGCTCACCACCATGCCTTGGAAGCTCCCCGTGCCGTAGAAGCGCAGTGCACACAACACTTGAAGCTCCGTAGTCATGACCGTCCACGAGGTACGCACTCTCCCCACCTCCCGTTCCTCGCGAAGTTCGTCGCACAACCACCGCACCACGATCTTGGGCAGGCGGTATTGCTTCCAAAAGATCTCCTCCGGGAGCTCGAATGCATCGCGGTGTCCGCGGTGTTCCCGATACAGCCTTTCGGGCGAAAAAAAAAGCTCTATTAAAGAAAAAGTCGAATTGACGAGACGACGACGCCTCGCCGCCGAAAACATGCTGCCAATGACACCTAGTTCCGAGCAAGTACCTTTTGAAACGTACTCGGTACAAAACGAAACGTCATTTTGTTGTCACGTCCGGTAGCCGACTCCGCCCAGTTTTGCCGACTCCGCCAACATTTTTCTAGGGAAATTACGTCACTTTTGTTTCCAACCAATCAGACGTGATGACGTCACTTCCGTGTACTAAAAAAAGGTACATGTACAATGTCGAACCTAGCTATCCAGGTCTTTGAGTTTAAACAGCACGTTTGTGTCGCTAAATCTTGGCCCACATCCGAAATCACGGCTGTGGACAGCTAAATGGGAGTACGCGTTACCTTATAATGAACTGTGGTGTTCGCGTAGATGAATGTTGGGGTAACGTTCCGTCTGACCTATATATGAGTGACCGCATGAGAAAGGTATTTCATAAACGGTCCCCTGTGCACAGGACACGGACCTCATGCCATGCTTGACGCGACAACCGAAAATTTCTGGCTAACTTTTCCTGCCAGCACGCTTATTAACCACGTTTATAATCCTGCTCAGTTCGTTGCACGCTGAAAAAATTACGTTGACCCCATACCTCGAACCAACTTCCTTTATCCCGTGTGAAAGACGATGAATATAAGGAATAACGGCGACATTTTTTTTGTCTATCTTGGCTTTTTCTTTGTCAGGGTTTTGGGCATCAATCTTTATGTACCGAGTCACCTTACCACAGGCTGAAGTAATAGCTGTGTCGGGAAAATTAGAGTTTCTGAGTCTAGCGGCCTGTGCTGAGAAGCTTTCTGTCATCTTATGAAAACAGGTTTTTGTCAACGCTGACTGTAAGCACGAATACGCAATACCGTTTTTTACGAGCTTTGTGTGTGCCGAACGATAGTCTAGTAATTTCTTCGTGGATCTGGGGTGGTGCATCCAGCACACATGATCTTCTTTCACGTCAACTAGGATATCTAAAAACTGGATTTTGTACTTCTTAGGAGACTCAGAGGTGAAGTCCTAATCCTTCCTCCTCGAACGTCCCTAACACTTCACTCATTGTTCTACTAAAATATTTTTTCTCTACGAAAACAAAGTAATCATCTACATATCTAACAACTTTTTTGGTGCTCTTCACCAGCCTGTGCTCAAGGGCCCTATCAACTTTACCTAGAAATATACTGCTCAGCATAGGGGCCACTCTTGAACCTATACATACACCTGACGTTTTTACATAAACGTTATATTTCCAATCGATAAACGTGGATTTTAGATAATAGACAATAGCTAAAGGAACCCTTCTACTGAGACTCCACTTTTGGTCCTAAACCTCCCTTCATCGTTGCGCTCAAAAATACATTCTTTTACGCTCTTCATGAGCTCATGATGGGGCATAGAGTAATATAACTCTTCCACATCTATGCTAAATGCGCTACATCCTTCTGGATTGTTGTTTTTGAAGAATTTTATCACAGACATTGAGTTTGGAATGTTAAAAGGGTCATCAATCTCCAGTGAGTTGAGGTGGGCCTGCAGATGTCCTGAAACTGCCCTGAGCCAGGAATCTCGCTCCGACACTACTGTGCGGAATGGTATTTCTGGTTTATGCGTCTTTGCGGTAAAAAATACCTCTAACATAAGGTTTTTCTCTTTCTTGGCTTCAGCTAAGACCTTTCCTGCAGGTTTAAGCTACTTAGAAGCTTCAAGGCTTGAGCTTTAACCTTTGCTGGCTGTTCCGTGACCTGCCTAAAGTTCTTCTGTACAGCTGTGTTAGCCCTCTCATCAAAATTACCTTCCGGCAGAATAACAAAAAAGCCCTCTTTATCAGACAACAGAATACGCAACCCATAACTTGTCAGATAGCCGATAACCGGCCCTAAATTTCTGCTTGTAGGGTGCTTCCCTTCGTTTTTTGACAAAATTCCCACGCACTCCCCGATGCATCTAGGCCTTTGTTCCTCCGCGACCCGCCGTGACACTGACCGTGATAAAACCAGTTTATCTTCCCGGCCCAACCCCGGCTCAAAGCGAAACTTTGGTCCTTTTTTTTAAAGATCTTGGTGCACCTCTGGAACCGACTGCCCTCCAAGGATCAAAATCTTGCCTTCTTTACTAGGCGTCTTCTTCTGGTTGAGGTAGCGTGAGGCGGACTGTATGCCAAAGGAACTCAGTGGTCTGGACGGAGATCTTAGTCCATTCTTGATACAGGCGGAAATCTCGAGGATGCCGTGCGTTGTTGGTACATGCCACCCGAAAACAGTCCTTGAAGAAGCGAACTTGATGCCACCACTCGGATCTTAAAACTCGGCACATTCTCCTTGAATGATCCGGCGACGGAACCAACCACCCGGAGACAGCTTGTAATTCTGGTGGGCACATAGACATGTTTGCGTACCACGCTGCCGCCCTGGCCTTGCACACGTAAACGGCGATTAAGGCAGACAAATATGAAGGTTCCGAAAGAAGGCGAGGAGAACATAGAAAAGAGCCCTTTGTAGTAGAAATGAAGCTTACTACAATGGAAAGCTGGGCGAGTTGGTATGAATCCATTTTGAAAAACAGCGCGAATAACACACGGACAAGAAGTTATTATATGCCATATTCTTTTTTTTCTACATTTTTTTTTTGTATGGTAGAGTGAGTTTGATACTAAATATTCGACCTCTCTCATAACTTTTAGCGTTCATTGCATTTCGCATCGGCACCCAAAAGACACTCATGTTTTTCGTAGTCACAAGTGTTTTTAACGTTGCATATTTAGTATCGTCAAAGGAGATGGCGTTTATTACATTGTAAACTTTTCTTTATTTTTGCGAACTAATGGTTTGCAATTTACTTCCTTAACCCCGTTTAATCTTGCACTAATTATACATTTTTGAGGATTATAATTAATTTTTATAATTATTATACATCTACGTCTTTGCACGTAGGTTTATATTACTAGGACCAAACGAAAAAACGAATCCCGTTTTTTTTGCTCGCATAAATAAAGTACACACCACGAAAAGCTGAAGCTGTTAAAATGTGACGCTAACAGTAATAATATCATGCAAAAGTTAAAAAAAGCTTTGTTATTAAAAAAAAAAGCCAGAAAAAGAATTTGCATTAGGTCGCCATTTTTTGGCCATAATCTTCACAAAAACCGAAAAATCCCTATTTGGGTGACTGTATCGTTCATTTCAGTTATAAAAAATGTCAGCATAAATAAAAAAAATATATGTGCCCCCAATGCCGTCTCCTGTTTTGATAAATGTTAGCTTTATGTGGGCATCGACTCAGAAATAAATCGCTTTTCTTTTATATTTTTTCATCTGGGTAACACCATGGTCTTTAACTCACATTTGATAACAACCACCATTAGCATGATATTTTTTCAGGGTTTCAGCTTTCTGTTATGCGTAGTTTATTATGTGGGCCAAAAAACCGGGTATCATTTTCTCGACGCGATCCGTCACATTGCATTAGGTGCGTTTTCGTATAATCTATGATATATGAAGCTGCAGGCCACCCAAATTGAAAAATGACAGATGAAGAACAATGCTGGCCAAAAACGGCTACATCATTGATCAGGCTGTTTGAAATTAGTAGCTAAAATAAGCGAAAAAATTTCGCCCAATGATAACAACAATTGAGCGTGGAATTGTTAAAATTCAGTCTAGCAACATACTCCTAACGATCTGGAAGACTGCGCCCAACGTCGTGTAAACCACTTGTCTATTCGCGCTTAATTATGTGCTTGAAGCAAACTAACAGTGATTAATAATAATGCTACCATATAAAAAGATACTCATTACATAATTTTAGACAGACTGGGCTTCAAATGAAAATGCTCAAATGGCCAGTGAAGTTCCGCAATCGAAGATACATAAAATGCGCACAAAATGCCCCCCCCCCCCCCCCAAAAAAAAAAAAAAAAAAAAGCTACACAGAAATAGCGATGAACGTCCCGTTTCGTTTGTTTCTTTCTAACCTGTTTTGCAGCTTTTGCGTCAAAGTTCTTAGAAGTAGCTTTGGTAAACCGAAATCATCAGAAATAATAATCAAGGCTACAGCAACGTTAATATTCCAATATCAATGACATCCTCAGAAAGTCAAGGTGTGTGACAAGTATTGAGCGTCTCATTATCGCTCGGGAGCCAATGAAACTGCGTCATCGGCCGATGACAGCAGCAGAAGAACCAATCACGAAGCTTGAACATAACAGGCCACGCCCCGCGTTAGCCCACGCCAGATGTGGGCACAGCGCGTGCGCAGAAGCCAAATTTAAAGGAAAGAAGCGTCGACGCATGCGCAGTACCGACGGCAGCGCCGCCGCAGTGGTGCGACGTCAGAGGCTTGAGTTCGTTTGTAGACTTCGTCATGATCGGACACCGGGCCTATCTGCTGTGTGGCAGCACGAAAAACAAAAGGAACTAATTTTGAGTCCTCTGCGTTAAGTTGTGATGAATGAGCTTTCTAAAACCTATCTTGCGTCTGCCGCAGGTGTGGTCATGTTTGACGAAGCTGTCGGCATCTGGCTTTTGCACAGCGCTCCTAGGTTCGTTGAAAACCTTCATGGTGGGGCCTACACCTTCCCGGAAAATGCCAGAGAAAACGCTCAGATCTTCGTCTGCGTTACGTTCCCGGCGACCCAGCTCAACGCCATCGGTGGGTGATTTCGGTGAATCGTGAAAGCACTTTATGTTCGCACTAATATCGCTTTGGATGAGTTTGCATTTTCAAGGTACAACGATACATCCGGGAGATAAAAACAAAAGCCCTAGTGGAAGAAAATGAACTTAGTGTTCCTCTTCGATCATGGTCAAACGTTTAATGAGTTTTACACAACAAAGCTGAGTATCTAATTTGGAGGGATGAATTTAGGTGTAAGTTCCCACGTTCAAGAGTTTTTCAACGTAGCTGCTAGTCTGCGGTTCTGACATCGATGGCGTAATAGCGACTACAGGGACGCACGTAATGTCGATGAGTGTTGTACAATGTACAACACTCATCGACAATAAAACGGGCGGAAATGGAGATCCGAACCAGGAAAAATCACAGCGTTCAGTAACTCGAGCTTTCGCCAAAGTTTTCCTGAGCAGTGGTACGCTATGCTTGAGACAGAATTCTGTGGGGACGAAGCTAAAGATTTGTGTGTTCGTGCATTCGTGCAAATTGAGTACCGAACAAAACTTTCCGTGTGCACTATATACTTTCTCTGAAATTTCACAAACACATTATCATCGAGTACGGCACTCTTGACCACCGATCTCCTTTTCATAGCGTAAATCTACGGCATTCTGAACATAACACTGAAACCGGTGATTATATATGTGACCACAGAACTAGGTTACATTCATACCCAATTTAAGCTGACCCTAGCTAGTCAGGATACATTACTGTATTGACAACGCGTTTCTTTGCATAGAAGATATTTCGGAACAGTTCTAAGATGTAAAGCATTTACTAAATGTGAATAATATATGTTGGCATCGTACATTTTTAATTAATAGCATTTTGTAGATTGTTGGAAGGTTCACATCAGCGTAGCATCCACCGCGCACAGGGAATGTTACGCAGTAAAATGAAATGGAAAACATAGGCCCTTGCACATAGAAAGTTAAATCGTCCACCGAATGTACATTGAGGTGCTCAGTTTTACGTTGTGAAATCTAGAGGTGCAGTTTTCTTTATGAAAAATTAAAAAAAAAGATATCAACGGCAGGCGACCGAGTTATCGGTGAATTTTACTTATGGCATGAACTCCCAAAAGGCACAGGGACCAAACAACGCACTTTCTTGTCTGCTCGCTTCACCTATCGGGTGATGACCACCACAGCTTACGTTCATCACTAACTCGGTCATCTGTGAACGCGCCCGCAATGAACTTTGGCAAGTTTGTTGGTCTCAGTTTTTCTGAGAAGACAGCTATGCCTTTAAATTTTACACGGGAAAGGATCGTCGCATTGTTCAGTCGGTGAAAGTTCGAACTTTCAGTGTGCAGCCTGTTTTACAGCGTAAAATCCACTATGTGCACCCTATAATCATAAAGAGTAACGGTTTAGATGAGCGATGCTTGCCATGCAAATAGAAAATATGCTCATTTCTAATTTCCAATTTGTCACATTCTAAAAGCCATATGAATGGGCTTTTTTCCTAGGTAAGTGATAAACTAACGTTTCATATGCCAAAGCGTTAATAAAACTCAAACTAGCTATTGATGTATGCTCTGTTCCGAGTGTACTTTTATGTACGTCTCGTGTTTTTTTAAACATTTGCACATTTCAATGCGCGTTTTTCCGGTTTTTTTTAAATTGTTTAAATGGTAGTTGGGAGTAAAAAGCTTTTCTAGAGTGATGATATCTCCACCAATTTATTCATCGGAAGTTTAAAAGCGTAAGAAAGAAAACCAACAAAATTATACAGCTTCTAAAAGAGCCTGATTTTCTCATCCTTATTTTTCTTACGGTTGTGCAGCCAAGCAGCTCCGCATGCAGTACGCGAACGTGTACGACAAGGGATCCTCAACGGCGATGCGTCAAAGACACGCCCAGGTGGATCTCCTCTTCAAGGACAGCTTCATACGTGGACGAACGATGAGACTGAGTATCGTCGACGTGACCAGTCTCGGAGGAAAACGATTCCTCAGCGTTGCCAAGAGGGCCAACCTGGAAGTTGGTTAGTAAAATTGCCATCCTCTCTATCGAAGTTCAAGTTGACAAATATCAGCTGCGTAAAGGTTAATGGGCAGTAGAAGTAGAACTTCTAAATTTAGAGCGCATTTTTCTGGTGAAGGTAGTGTCGCGAAAACACAAGACGAAAAGGAACGACACCCAGAAATAAGATGCAAAAGCAGTACGGCCAAGAAAACAATATACGTGCAAATAGTTACCGAACGAATTAGAACGGGTGGGTGTGTCCTTCGAACGCCCGCCCACCAGCACGTGCTCTATGGTTTCCGCCGTGCTATGGCTGCGCGCGCGCCATCGAGATGTATGAGCATAGCCTCGTCTGTACCCACGAAGCCTGGCAGTTCGACGACAGAGCCATAGAGTGCCCGGTCGCAGATTTGGAGCGCGAGGATTTGGTAGCACGAAGCCTCATGGCGAATTCAACTGGTCATTTTGGGGCGCACCGGGATCGACTTTTCTGGAGCGAGCCTAGTTCACTGGGCGATCGGGATCGAGACCGACGTGTTTCACTGGTCGTTTTGGATTAGCTCCCGCTCCAGATCTCGATCTGGATCCGAGAAAAGTCGCTCCCACGATTTCGGGGGATTCAACCGGAAGCCAGCCGGGCCAGCCCTCGGCGCACACACGTGACTTCCTTTCTCGTGGGGCATCTCGCCTGATCTCGCCCATCTCGCCTCAGAAGAAGAAGAAGCACGTCGCAGGCTGGGCTCCTAGATTTTCTCCACATCAGAAGCATTCGCAATGGCCGCTTGCTTACCCCTTGGCTCGACAGCCGATTCGTTTTCCAAAAAGGAGAAGAGAAGGTATTTTCCGCGCTACGGGCATTCCGGCCATCTTTGCTAAAAGTGCCTGAGCCATTCCTGCCGCTCGTGCGTCGAACACGTGTTAGCGCAGCGATTGCGAAAACGTCTTCGAAACGACCGCGGCGGCCGCGGAAAGGGGATTTCCGGGCAGTTGAATGACGGGAAGGCATCCGCCGATTTCGGAGCAGTGGTCATGTTCCACTGGGGATCCGTAGGCGGTGCGATCCCGTTCGGATCGTGTGCTCCGGTCCAGATCTGGTCAACTGATACCGGCGCGCTCCAAAACACCCAGTGGAATTCGCCATCAAAGAGCCATTTCTTCGGGAAACCTGGACGTCAGCGCACAGCTTTTGCAGCGGCGACGACCCGAAGAACACTTGTTCGCTCGGGAGAAGTGTGTTTCGGCGTCTCGCCGTAGCGTGGCGCTAGTCACGTGACTCTCCTTTCATCCGTTGTCTGTCGCTCCACTTTCCTATTTCGGTGGCCGCTTCTCGTGGCGATCTGCCAGGCTTTGTCAGTATAGACCTTTGCAAAAAGAGCGCTCTGGCCGTCGCCATTTTGCGAATCGAGCGACCCCTATCAGCTAGAAATTTGTGGCACCCACCTGAGCTGTGGAAACCCGGTCAGCGTGACTCCCCACCTGCATTTTGCATTCGGAGTTCGGCGGCTTTTCTTTGAAGTTTTTATTCTATATGCCTGTTTAGGATGCTTACCCTTTGTATGTTATCTTCCACTGTGAGAACCAGGGAATACCAGGGTAGCTAAACTCGTGGAGCAAAACCTTCTTCGCTTTTTGACGTAGCGGGGGGAGTGACCAAAAGAGCGCCGCAAAGTTTCCTCCTCCCTGCGCGCGCTCAACTTCGCAACTTTTGACGAAAAGTCCCCCGCGATCCCTAGGCGGTGCACCAGAGCACGAGGCAGCGCGGGGAGGCAAGCGTTCACGCCGCTCGCTGTAAGTACGTTGTCTTTGAGCGCTCTAGCGCCGACGATCCCGTCATGCCTCGCCCAGGCAAGGAGCGAGAGCAGACGACGAGAGTTCGTCTGCTACGATGCGGCATTCGCACAGTGGAACTGAAAGAAAAAGTTGGTTTTCTGCTCGAAATTGCGTCCCGCGGGCCACAAACTCAAACGCGAGCTTGAATTGTAAGCGTCTGATATTTCACAAAGGGAGGAATCGACGGCCCGTGTTTTATTTGCAAAATTTGAGTCGTTTTGTAGCCGTACAGACGCTGAAACCTAGCAGTGTGTAATGAAAGGCCCAGGACAACCAGAGAGGCCGCGAGATCTAGCATCATTTGTGTATGGGTGAAAGGTGGAACATTTTTCGACAAAGCTCCCACAGCAGAAACCTGTGACGGATTCACTCAGCGTCCGGGAAGGCTAAACATGGAGACGTTGCCCGAGACTCAAGCAAAGTCATATTTGAACGGCAGCTATCTTGCCCCGTCATATTTTGTTGTGAGAAAGCTCTCGTTCTCAATGCTCTCACCAGGGAAATAAAAAGTCTTACGAAACGTACTGCTAGATGTTCCAAAGAACTAGATTTAAGCCGTATCCTTTCAGTGGTTCACTCATAATACTATGCGTAAAACGAAGCAAGCTCTTGCGCGTACAGTGCGATCAATTTTCTCAAGTGTATGCTGTTTTGTAGTCAGCTGGTTTCGGAAACTTAGGCCGTTTGTAGATATCTCCGACAGCCGAGTTGCTTCATTGGAAGTCATCGCAAATGGAAGTTCCATGTTGCAGCAACCAACATTTATAGATAAACGATGGCAGCGACTGGGCACTCTCGCATTCCCACACATCACGTCGAACAAAAAGGCGAGTTTCGGTTTAAGGTCGGTACTTTTCTACATCTATGGCGACAGCATCAGTCTGCATTCGGCAAGTTCGTTCGGGGCCGGTTCTGCGTGCAGCACTCCGCGGGTGCAATGCGTTAGAACACTACATTGCAAGTCTGGATCGCGAATCGGGAGCCTGTCAGTGGCCTCACCGGCGGCCATTGCTTGACGACAGGCAATACGCCGCGTCCTGTATAGACCTTTCCAGCGGCAGTCTCGAACGAAGCGATTTACAGCGCGCGTCCCTGGTTTTGAGAGTGTACGTCAGTGTTGCCCGACTGCGCTGAGCTGTGGAGTTTCTCGTCAGTAGGCTGTGGCAGCCTGCGTAGGCGCAATTCCGGACGCTGGTAGCGGCTGAATTGCTGCGTTTTCTTTTTTATTTTGTGTTCTGTGGCGAACATAATTTATAAAGGTATTTAAGAAAGCAGTGCTATATTTTTGGGAACAAAAACAAAGAAATGAAAGCTGTTTTGGCTAGCCCGTACGCGACGGAACAAATGCAACTGGAATGTTTGTTTCATTTTATGTTCATCATTTTACGGCACCGTACACTCAGCCGTGTCAATCTATATAGGTCAAAATATTTGACCACACATGATATCCGAACTGCATGGATATTCCCCGTCCACAACATGAAATTCAATGAGTCTCATCAATCGAACAATATATATTGTACGTACCCCATGGTGCCGCGTTATCCGAACAGGATTTGAGAATGGTCTCAAATAACACAGCATATTCAATATACAGTGTCGACGATAGTCACTTCACGACGATCGGACGGAATCCGGCGTGTTTTGGGGCACATGTAGAAGAGAGCAGTTTTTTTGCACAGCTTCAAAGCAAATGAACGAACGTGTCTATTCTGTCCCCACACCCCGGACCCGACCCTATCAGCTATTTTTCGCGAAAACCCGGAACACAGCCGGGAAGGCTTTTTGGAGATTATCTCAACGGAAATAATCCTCCAAGAACGTCGAACTGCCCGCGTCGCGGGCTGCTTGACGTTCGCTCTCTTCGTTCGTTTCCTGCGAAGGCCGAGCAGGCTACGAGCCCTGGTATTCTCTGGTTCTCACAGTGGAAGATAACATACAAAGGGTAAGCATCCTAAACAGGCGAATAAAGTAAAAACTTCCAAGAAAAGCCGGCGAACTCCGAATGCAAAATGCAGGTGGGGAGTCACGCTGACCGGGTTTCCACAGCTCAGGCGGGTGACAGAAATTTCTGGCTGATAGGGGTCGCTCGATTCGCAAAATGGCGGCGGCCAGAGCGCTCTTTTTGCAAAGGTCTATAGTTCTCCCTTCGTTTTCGTCCTTGTTGTTTTGGCCTATCACACCATGATGCAATACACGCAAGTCTAAGGGAGAAACAAGCAAAAATTGGAAGCTTGTATGTGGTGCCCGAGGGCGAGTATTTTATGACGTGCTGCGATGATTATGTCGGGTTCTTGGAGATAATAGACATTCGTCAAGCGTTTAAACATCGATTAAAAAAAATCGGCCGGAGCACCATTGACTTTACCGACGTCGCTTGCTTCGGTTGCTAAATAAATGGCACGTTCAGCGACTGAACAGCACGCTCCGAGTTTCAGTTTGTCACGGAAACCCTCACAGCAGTTCAAAGAAAAAGCTTTCACCATGAAGTACTATGTACAAGCGGTTAAAACGATGCAAATGTCCCCAGTAAACGCATTCTAACTTATTGTTTGCTGAGCTTTGATGACTCCGAAACCACAATAACTCTCGGTAGCCCTTGTCTCATTAAACACATCACAGTTAACGCCCAACAAAGTCGCCCTCGATCCTCAACCACACAACATTTAGTTAAACAAGATTGGTGTTCTAAGGCGTTTAATATTCTTGCCCAAAATATTGACTGTTATTTGCGGAAACACGATAGAAGTTTCATGGTAGAGAACAACCTACTAGCGTAATAAAACTGAGTTTTCCCGCTTCTCCTATAGCATGCATAAGATCGTGTCAAGCGATGACTGCCGGTGCATGGTGCCGCTCGACCCCAGCAATACAGGCCTCTATCCGCGATCTAGCCTCCTAAGAAATCAGTGGTGCCAGTGCTATTAGACATAAATCGTTTATTTGCATCGGTGCACTTATACCTGCCGGATGTCGGAACGAGGCACAAAACCGTACATCCGGCCAATATTGAAGCCAGTTTTCGGCCGAAATTGCCTCGACACTCGCCAAGAAGCAAGCTGCTTTTTCGGCGACTCCTTTGAGTAATTTATTTGTTCGGTCATATTATTGGGTCCCGGGCCACTGTTTACACTCCAAAAACGAAATGTACTGTGGTAATTACACTTTGACGAGAAGCAGGCAAGTAGC